GAGGGTCCTCGTTGATGTTGATGGTTGTTTTGATGTGAGTCACCACTGGTGCTCATGGCCATCTATCACTGGGTGAGAGGTGGGGGGGGGGGCACCCTGGACAGGTTGCAAGCCCGTCACAGGACCACATAGAGACAAACAAGACAAACAACCATTCATGCTAATGCTAATTATACTACTGTTTCCTGGATGTTGTTTTCTTGTTTCCTTTCACTTTCAGGTCTCGTGTAGCTAAAGGCTCAGATTTAAAAAGATTTATAGACTTTAGAGATCAAAGGAATAGGTTGAACAGGAAGCTTTAAATCTGAGTGTTGCAGCATCTCTGGAGCCCCCCCCACTGCGCCGCTCAGAGGCTCGCTCCGCCGCCCCTCCTCCACAGCTCTGAGCGCGCGCACGTGATGCGTCGCCGGTGAACAGGTGTCTCTCGCTGTCAGCTGGAGCTCCAAGCAGGCAGCAGCCGCTCGTTCAGAACCAGGACCAGGTCCGGTCCGGGGGGAGCTGCTGCTCGTCCGTCAGCCGAGACGATGATGATCCGGACCTCAGCAGGACCTGGTTCTGCCTGAAGGCTTCAGTCCGAGAGCAGAGAGCTTTAACCCTCGGCTGCTAGGATAAACCTGCTGCTGATCTGTGAGTATCAGAACATCTGAAGAAGTCCTGACCCGATCCAAATGGACAACTTTAGAGCTGCTGTCAAGCTGGAGTTCTGGTGCTGCTCAGCAGGAGGTCAAGCTGCTGCATTCATTAAGATCTGTTTTTTTCTGGGGACAAATGAACGGATCTGGTTCTGGTTCTGGTTCTGGTCGTTTGCAGAGTGTGTTTTAGAGCTGATGGAAGCCGTTCTGGTCGTTTTGGACCTGTTGTGGTTCTGGAGGCTGACTCCTGTGTTTGTTTTCAGGTCGGACAGTAAGATCGCCCGCTTGGCCCAGAGGTGGAACCACGGGTCCGCAGGAGATGTTCTGAAACCCCTGTACTGCACGGGACCGACCCGATCCTCCCTGTGCCTGGACAGGTGAGCTCACCTTTAACACCTGAGGCTGGTTCTGACCCAAACAGAAACAGCAGAGCAGCCGCTTCTCTTTAAATGTTCGGTCCACTTCTGGTATTTACTGTTTAAAGATGTTTTTAACAAACTGGACCAGAACCAGAACCTGCACAGAAATGTTCTGATTGTTGTTTACTGACCCAAAACTTAAAAAACAACCAGAGACAGAACATGATGTTCTGTTCAGACGAGTCATTACACTACTGGTTCTGAGTGGGATCGCTGACTAACGACCCGGTTCTGACTGGAGTTCTGACTGATTCTGGTTGTGGTTCTGGTGAGACTTCGAGCTTCAGCTCCTCCACAGAGGTTCTACAGAACTGAGGTCCAGAGGCTGGCTCAGCTGCTCCAGAACCTAAATGTTCTGTGTTTTGTTGCCTCCGTGTGCCATTTGGGTCATTGTTCTGAAGAAGGTTCTGGTCCAAGATCTCATGGTACATGGTTCTGTCCGTTGCCCACCCTATGAGGTGAAGTCTTGGTGACCCAAACCGTGACCCGGTTTGTGGTTCTGTTCTCAACGTCACCTGACAACCGGAGCAGAGGTCAGGATTACAGTTCCCATCATGCATCGCTCCCCTCTGAGCGTAGCGGCGCCGACCCTTTGTGGTCACTTTCGGGTCGAGCTGCTGATAAATGGTTGCCGTGGTTACCGTTCACCTGTTGACTGATGATTTATTTACAAACAGGTTTGTTGATCAGAGTCGCTTAAACAACATTTACTTGTAAACAACAATAAAGAAGAATAAACATTTAATCTGACGCCCTTTCGAGGGATTACATCAGAGGCCTGTTTTATTTTGAAGAGACCTGACAGGAAGTGAAGTGCCTTTAACCTCACTGAGAGTGTTGGGGAGGAGCATCAGCGACTACCACTCGTATAGGAACAGATGTCATCTGATCTTAATCTTCTGAAGACACTTTAAAGCTCGGCAGGTGATAAGCAGTCGGTCCGGTCCAGTCTCGTGACTGTTCCTCTACAGGGACAGCCGTTTTGATCCACGCTGACAGATGAAACACTTTGAAGAAAAACCTCTGATTATTTTAACAGAATGGTTTAAATTATTTCTTTTCTTTTGTCCCGTCACTCGTAAGCAGAACCAACTGATCCGTTTCCCTGCACTTGACTCGGCACATGTGGTTCTGTTAGAAGCTTTTCAAGGCCAAAAAGAGGTTCTGTTCATCACGAAGCGCTCGCTGAGCCTTTCAGCCTTCATGTGTGTTTCTGCTCTGAAGCAGCACAAGTCAAGGTGAACTTACACAACACTCCTCAGTCACATCAGGCTGAAGAGGTCCATTCAGCAGAACCCAGCCGGCCACGGTGCTGCTGAAGTCCATCAGAACCAAAGAAGTTCTTTGATCCTACTTCTAGTTTTCACAGAGGCAGTCTGAGGTACGCTGTGGGGGGTGCTCCGTCGTCGTTACAGGCTGTTCGGTCCATATACAAGCGGTCTGAGAGTTGGGTTCTCAATGCAGGCAGTAAGTTGGACTCCACCAGGGCTGCCCGTTGTCACCGATTCTGTTTAGAACTTTTATGGACAGAACTTCTCGATGCAGCCAATGGGGGGGGGGGGGGGGGGTCCAGTTCGGTGGCCTCAGGATCCATCTCTGCTCTTTGCAGATGATGTGGTCCTGTTGGCGTCATCGTGCCGTGATCTCCAGCTCTCACTGGAGCGGTTCTCAGCCGAGTGTGAAGCAGCTGGGATGAGAACCAGCACCTCCAGATCTGAGACCATGGTCCTCAGTCAGAAAAGGGTGGAGTTTTGTTTGTGAGTGAGGGAAGAATGACGCATGAGATTGACAGACGGATTGGTGCAGTGTCTGCAGTATTGTGGACTCTGTGTCGGTCCGTTGTGGTGAAGAGGGAGCCGAGCTGTTAGACAAAGCTCTGTTTACTGGTCGGTCTGCATTCCTCTCCTCTGGTCTTGAACTCTGGTAGAGACTGAAAGAATGAGATCGTGGATCCAGGAGGTTGAAATGAGTTTCCTCTGCAGGGTAGCTGGACTCTCCCTTAGAGACAGGGGGAGAAGTTCAGTTATCAGGAGAGACTCGGAGTAGAACCACTGCTCCTCCACATCAAGAGGAGCCAGTTGAGGAGGTTCATCTGGTAAGGATGCTCTCTGGGTTCCTCCCTAGGAAGGTGCTTCGGGCATGTTTGACAGGGAGGAGACTCCGGGAAGACCCAGGACACACTGGAGAAACTACATCTCTTGGTTGACCTGGGAATGCCTTGGAGTCCTCCCAGAAGAGCTGGAAGAGGCTGTGGAGAGATGTCTGGCCCTTCCTGCTCTGATGCTGCCCCCGAGACCTGAGTCCAGAACAAGATGGGTGGATGGATGGTTGTCTGAGGCTTACTTTCTACTCGGTGTTCCTGCATGGAGTGTTGCCCCTCCCCCTCCATCACCATGGCAACCAGTGCTGTATTACCCATCATGCTTTTCTTCCTCCTTGGTCTCCATCATGGCCACCCCCGTAGGTCCTTTATTGGACCTTGGATGTTTAGGAGGCTTCAGTCAGAGGGTCGGCAGGAAGCAAGAAGAGGTTTGGATCTGGACTTTCAGAATAGAAGTCTGCCCTGCCCTCCTGTTGGAACTGAAACATTCAGGGAACCATCTGCCGGGCCTCGGGAGGTCCACTCGGACCTCAGAACAGTTTATGGGATAGATCGTTTCAGACCATCAGAAGGTGACTGATTCTCCATTAAAGTCCAGTTAAACCCGACAGGTCAGTGGTCCAGAACCTGAGCTCCGACCGACGGAGTGACAGGTGACATGCATTCCTTCAGCTCTGTGGAGCAAGCTGAGATTCTGTCTCACCTGGTTCTGAACACTTGGAGTTCTGATCCGAGAGGCTGGGTCTGTCTGGGTGCTGTATCTCCACATCTGAGTCTGTCAGAACTGGACCTGCTGAACCTTCAGACCCGTTTAACCACATCCTGAAGTAGCTGGGCCCAGCAGGTCCGTTTCAGCCTTTCTGTGGTTCTGGTAATCACAGGTGAGTCGTTAACGAGTCAGCAGGTCAGCAAACATCCACCTCCTGGCTCCAACTCAAAAATCAAGTTTCATCAGAACCGGAGTTTAAAGTCCGGTCCTCAACCTGGACTGAGGGGCTTTACTGGATCTCTTCAGGACCGAGACCTGGTCCTCCTCAGACCAGAGAACCGTTCTTCAGCTTAGGGTCTGTTCATTCAATTAACTTTTATTAATTGGATTGAACCCAGGACCTACATGATGTGAGGCAATATGCATAACCACTGATCCACCGTGCTGTCCAGTGGTCCTGCTGGAAGGTGAACCTCCTTCCCACATCTGATGACGAGGGACTGAAGATCTGGACCTGCAGAATCCAAATATCAAACAGCCATTTAACTGTGAATACAACCGGGCCCAGACGGTTCTATGACTGACAGCTATTGTAGTTCACACTGACTGCAGCGGGTCCAACAGCTCTGAAATGATCAGAACCAACATCAGAACCTTCATCTTTGTCCTATAATGAACTGAACCAGCCAGGCGGGGTCACATTCATCCACTGATGGGCTCCTCCAGGGGAGTGAGGGGACCAGCGTCTGCTCAGGGACACAACATCTCAGGAATCAAACCTCCCACCCTCAGACTGCTCTAACCGCTGAGCCACAGCTGTCAGGAATCAAACCTCCAACTCTCAACATTTACATGGGTTCACTTTCCTATGGACCCACCACCTGCAGGAGGGGAGTCAGGTGCCCTGGGGGGGGGTGGCTGAAGGCAACCTTGGTGTTCTGAACTCGGCTGGCTCCTGGGACCTGTGATGTTCAACATTTGACTCTTTAATTGTAACGAACCCGTTAGAACCAAAGATCACGTTTTGTTCTATCAGACGGTCTGAAGAGCAGCACAGATATTACTTCCTGTTTCCTACTTCCTGTCTTTGTCACCATGTCTGTCCTCTGTCTCTCCTCCTCAGACGCTTCCCGGGCATCATGACCCAACAGATGCAGAACCTGCAGTTGTCCCAGACCAGGAAGTGTCCCGGAGGGCCAGCCTCGCCCAGTGCCGCCAAGCGCCTCTACCGAAACCTGTCGGAGAAGCTGCGTGGAAGCACCTCCTCCTTTGAGGATGCCTACTTCTTCGGGAAGACAGACCGCCTCCGAAAAACTTCGGTGAGTTTGATGTTGTTACCATGGAGATGCAGCATCTGTTTGCCCGAAAAAAACCAAACTTTATTTACAGTTTCTGACCTTCCTCTGGTAAAAGGTCTTCATGAGTTTATTTAGTCACATCCAGGAGAGTTTTGGTGTCTTCAGTCTGAGGAAGAAAGTTCAGCTCAGAAATGCAATAAAACAAAACCTTTTTTTATTTTTTATTTTTTTACAAAAACGAGTTTATTGATAGTTTTGCTTTTTTATACAAAAAAACAAGAGAACACAAAACAAAAACCCCTCCCACACCGGACCAGTCACACATACACAAACTGCACAGGCATTGACAAGTTTTCAACAAACGATACAAAGGGTTGCCTGGTGTCCCAGAATTGTCTTACAGAACCCCTCAGGGTGTGTCTGATATTTTACAATTGGATGTGGTACATCACTTCCCTTACCCAATGTATATATGCTGGGGGGTGTGGGCCCTTCCAATTGCACAAAATTAGCCTTCTGGCCAGAAGAGAGCCAAAAGCAATCACATCCCTCTCACATTTGCTGAAGGATGTATTCACAGGGACCACCCTGAACAGTGAGATGAGTGGTGACGGGTGAACAGTTTGGCCACATATTCCAGAGGAGGTGTCAAATATAGATTGTCAACAAGTCTGCAGTTTGAGACAGGTCCAGAATGTATGCAGGAGTTTAGCTTGAGTTTGTCTGCAACAGTTGCATGCAGGGTCCAGATCAAGCTTGATCCTGGACAGCTTGTCTTTGGACCAGTGCAGCCAGTGCACACCCTTGAATTGGATTACAGCATGTCTCAGGCAAGTTGAAGGTGAGTGAATGTTTTTAATAATCCTATTCCAGATTGAGTCCGATATGGGTTCCTCCAAGTCCACTTCCCATTTCAGTTTAAGGGAGTCCAAACTGGATTCATGGTATAAGCTGAGCACTATATAGATTTTTTTTTATTCATTCAACATTTATTTATTCAGGTAAATCCCATTGAGCCTCGATGACTCATTTACAAGAGAGACCTGATTTCAACAAAGAATGATGACAACAATGGACAACAGCAACAACAAACAGTTATAAAAAGTCATACAATTGTTTTTTTTACAAATAGGATGGCTAAAAAAGTAACAAAAACAGCTAAAAAACAGGCAAATGTAGAAAACTAAAAACAGGAACGTCTGCATTGGTCCCTGCCAGGAGTCCAACAGTTTCTTAAAGCCACTTAGAGAGGTCAAAGGTCAAGAGCTTCAGATCTTTTTACAAGATATTCCAGGAAACAGGAGCGGAGTAGGAGAAGGTCCTTTTGTCTAGTTCAGTCCTCACTGAGGGAACACTGCAGGTAATGATGTCCTGAGAGCGCACGCTGTAGCTGCACTCACACAGAGACATGTAGGAGGAGATGTATGAATGCAGCAGACCAGGAAGTGATTTAAAGATGAAGATGTACCAGTGGGAGAGTCTGTGTGAAGTTAATGGTGACCAGTTAACCAGTGAATACTGGGTGCAGTGGTGGGTACGATAATCACAGCCAGTTATGAATCTTAGTTTGGACATCGTTTTACTCTTGTTTGGACATTGTTTTGGACACTGTTTGGACACTGTTTGGACATTGTTTTGGACACTGTTTGGACACTGTTTGGACACTGTTTGGAAACTGTTTGGACACTGTTTGGACACCCTGCGTGGCTCCAAAGCCTCTTGTCTCTCAGAATGGAGAATCAATAAAGATATGGTTTGTTGTCTCTAATCGTGTTAGTGGTGGTGTCTCCAAAGCGTCAACTCTTGTCTTTCACAGCTGTAATTGGATCAGTACCGAGCCTCCTCAGGCTGCTTGTTAGATTGTGGACACTCTGGTGTCTCCTCAGCTGATCTCAGGTCAAATCTGTCCTTCAGGACCAGAGTTCGATTCCTTGCTACATGGTACTTCGGCTGCTTGTTTGTCTGTGAAGTAGCTCGTCTGCCTTTGACTTCATCATCGTCACAGCCTTCCTCCTGCCACTCTGTGAAACATTTGGTCGTTGACACTCGTCGTGTGTATCGGGTCTTGGTGTGTGTGTGTGTGTGTGTGTGTGTGTGTGTGCTGACATTTACAGACCTGCCGCAGAAGCAGACATGAAAGAGCTCATCAGACGGAGGAGGCGTCGAGCAGCAGATCAATACTCAGAACTTCAAGTACCACTCTGACATTTTACTCACTCACTGAATGAACTTTTAAAACCCACCTGGACCCAGATGATAAACCTGGATTTGCTGCAGGACCACCAGTCCAAACCATCAGAGTCAGATGGTTCTGCAGCCGGACCAGCTCCCTACAAATTTGACCTTTGGTGAACCTCCTGATTCTGGTCTCTGAAGACGCTTTACAAACTGTAAAAAGACCAAGATGGACCAGAACTTTCAACATGCCTCTGAACATGTTCAGGTAAAGAAGTGAAACTGAGAAAAACACAACCAAGTCCAAGAAACCCTTTGGAAAAACTGTTGTCATCCAGACCACTTTAACAGGTTACAGAAATGTTTGGATCAGGATGGTCTGCATCAGGATGGTCTGGATCAGGATGGTCTGGATCAAGAAGTCTACAACAGGAGTCTGGATAAGGGTGGTCTGAATCAGGAGGTCTGGATCAGGGTGGTCTGGATCAGGAGGTCTAGATCAGGAGGTCTGGATCAGGATGGTCTGGATCAGGATGGTCTGGATCAGGAGGTCTAGATCAGGAGGTCTGGATCAGGAGGTCTAGATCAGGATGGTCTGGATCAGGAGGTCTAGATCAGGATGGTTTGGATCAGGATGGTCTGGATCAGGAGGTCTAGATCAAAAGGTCTGGTTTAAGTGTTTAAAAGAGTCTAACATTTGCCAGGAACTCAAATCGAGTTCATTCAGGATTAAAATGTTCAGGTTTTACATCAAAACCGATTAAAACAAATTAAATCTACATAAAGTAAAACCTTAAATCCACTAAAATACCGGTAAACAAATTCTGTTTTAAGATCAGCTGGAGTTGTTAAATAAATCCTCAGAGCTCCAAATATTCAGGAACATCTGATGAAATTGAGATAAACATAAATTCAGAATATAAAGTTTAACTCTGAAGACTGAAGACATATATATATATATATATATATATATATATATATAT